TGACAGAAATACAGTGACCATCATAATGAATAGACCTTGCCAGTCTGGAGTTGCTGTCAATATGCGGCATTATGCCCAGGGCAATTAAATTTGCCTGTTTTTCATTACTAAGACTAAATGTTTGGCCTGAATTTATGCAGAAAATAAGTAATTCCATTACATGTGATTCACCTTTAAGTAACCCTCTAAGTGGATGAAGACTCAAGTTGAAAACTTACATTTATTATATAAATAATCTATTTAGCAAACATTTATTAGTTTACCTTATGTTCACCAGGAAGCATACAGAGGTTTGAACATGGAAAGTACAGTTCTTGTGTTTAATAAATGTGCAACCTAATTTGACACACACACACACACAAAAAAAAACACTTTTCATTAAAAAAAAAAAATCACATGGGAAGGGGTTGTTTTTAATAAGAAGGCAAAATGAATTGTGATAATAAGATACTCTAAAGGCATGAGGAATCTGGACTCCGGAGTCAGACGGGGTTTTGGAATGTTGTCTGCCAGTTACTGCCTGTGTGACCTGGCGCCAGCTATTTCTCATGCCCCATGCTATACAATCTATATGATAATAGCTCCCACCTTATAGCATTGTGTTAGGCCAAGATAAGGAAGTTTCTGGCAAATTTCCTGAAATATAAATACTCAACAAATTGTCCCTATTCATTTTTATGATGTGTTTTGGGCTGAACTCAGTTTTTCAATGTACCATTGTGCACATTCTCCACCTAAAAATGTAATGAGGTCACAGTATTCCCTTTACCCTGAGCCTCTGCTTGCAGGCCTAATGCCCATGCATTCAGACAGGTCCATCTTGTGCAGTTGGAGGCTCCTTCTCCTTCCCTCATACTTCCAAAATACAAAAGTGGATGCCAAAAAAAACTGAATCTCAATGGAATGCAGATTGCAAAAATCAGGACAACTCATTTTTTCTTTTAACAATTATACAAATACTCACTGACTTTTTAAAATAAAATAGTTAAACAAGCAAGAATTGGGTGATGTGCCTGTTGAACTGGGCACAGCTCTGGGTGCTGCAATAGTCATCAGGATCACTCTGTGAGAAGTTGGTTGACTTGTAAAGCAGACTTTGTCTCAAAATCTTGGTCTCTTATGTTTCTTTAATGATTTCAGAAGAAGAACATACTCACTTTGAGTCTGTTTCATAATCCCTAAATAGGGAGTCAGTTACCTTCTGGGGTTGTTGAAAGAATTAGCCTATCTATGCCCAGTGCTTGGCACAGTGGCTGACACAGAGTACTCCATAAACAGGAGCTGTCTTCCCCTCACTCCTAGTAATTACAGAGACAAACTGACACTGCCTCTCCAAATCTCATGTCCAGCAAGGAGATGGACTGTGTTTGTAAAGTAGCACAGTACTTAGATTCTCTATGTTGCTGCAAATGAGAGTCTTCACGTAGTCAAATTAGGATTTGAACCCAGATCTTTGAATGCCAAAGACAGCCATACATTTTTCATCCTTCTCTGCTGTCTTCCTACTTCTGTTTTGGGGGAGTATTATGTGGGAAGACATGCATGAGATGCATTAGATTCCTTATTAACTGTGTCTCTGTACTGACCCTAAACCCCAACCTTACCGCCTCTTCCCAAAGCTGCTCCTCTTCCTCCAGAGCTCTAGGTCACTGAGGAGCTGGCTTTGTTCCTAGTCCTTGCCTTGTCTAGCTCGGCTCAGAAGCACAGTGTGGGGAGGAGAAGTGATCCAGAAATGTGATTCCCCCAAAGTGGCGCTTTCTTAAGGATCTTAAAGGTAGTTTACATGGGTGTTTAACATCAGCAATTAGACAAAGCAATGTGTAAGCCAGGCTGTGAAATGAGTAAGCAGAACAGGCAGAAACAGCATCTTCAAAAGTCTGCCCCCCAACAATCAAAGACACAGCCAGCACCAGTCACCACCTACCTCCACCCACCTCCAGTGTTAGAACCAGGCTTTCTCCTTAACTCTTCCTTTCACCTCTTCCTAGCCTAGTCTGTTTAAAATGGCTCTGTGATAAACTAATTGCTGCCAAGATGTTAGGGAGATAACCATTCCACATGTGACCTCTCCTCCATGTCATCTTACCAGCTAACAATGGAAAGGAAGGAGTCGAGGACACAGAGAGGAAGAGGGGCTTCTTGGTGGGATCCTCCACCTACACTTCTAGGCATCTTCTATGTGGATGGTCCTCACCTTATGCTTACAGGATGCCACCCCCTCAGTTATCTCCTGTTTAGGACTCAGCCAGAACCATGCTAGCCCTTCATTATCAGTGTAACAGAATTCTCTCCCTTTGGATCCTTGTTTTGATATTGGCAGGGAAAAGTCCTTTCATTTTTCAAAAACACTTAATTTTTACCCTCCCATTCTCAGTAAAGAATAGGTGACCAAAATCTATGCTAGAAACAATTCAACTGCAGAAATTAATATTACAGTCTTCATGTAGTTATGGAATCAAAAGTGGGAATCACTGGATAAAGTGTTTTTTAAGCTTATCAGATTATCAGACGAGTGTCTGAAACTTGTTATTTTTAGAGTATCCTTAAATATCATTTCTCCTTTTTGAAAAGTTTCTTTAAATATTTTTTCTTATAAACTCTCAAAAGACATAGTCATCCTTCTCTATTCACTTTTAACAGAAAGTGTGATTGCTTCTTCTAAAATTTTCTGAAAAAAAAAAACGGTTATAATAAGAACAACGTATACTTTATAACTTCATTTGCTGTAATCTTTTGGTTTTCTTCATACTTTTCCATACTTCAGACTTCTCAAATCTTTCCACTTTTCCTGGGGGATAATTTGATCAATGCTTTTTCTTATTAAACAATTTGATTTGCATTTTTTCTGGAATTTCACATATATGATATATTTCTACTTATATTCCATGTATAAGTGTATTCTGTGTATTAGAAACATGACTTTCAGTGAAACTATACTTACAAATTGACATAGCATTTTATGAAAGTAAGCAAATTCTTTTATCTCATTACTGGCTGATTTGGTATATATAGGCCAAGAGGTTGAAACACAAACAGAATGTAATTTGTATTAAGCTGTGTGATTAGAAATGATGTTGGGAATGGTTTTTACGTCTCCTAACTTCGGATACAATGTACTTTTTACTGGAAAATGGATAACTCGTTATGTTTTTTAATTCCTGTTGTTTGTTATCCAGATATGGTGGTCAAAAGCAGGATAGGATCTCTGGAAAACTACTATAGCCTATTCTGTTGCTAATTTAATACAATAATTACTGAAATTTGTGTGTATTTTCTAATCTATTTGGTAGGGTATGCTATCTCTTAAAGACTGGGCTCCCAGAAATCAAGAACTTGAAAGCAAAAGATAAAAACAAGATTAGTTTTGTGGTCTTAAAATCACCAGTAATGATTTGTGAATACAGCATTTATTGTGAAACAAAGCTAAACTGGAAGCATAGAGAAATCATTTAGGAGAGTAGAAATCCAAGGAAAATTGTAGGAAGAAAACAATGTGACTATGATATTTTTTTTCCCTATAAGAAAATACAACCATTGGAGGTGAGAGAGAAGTAAAAGGTTTAAACAATAAAACTTTAAATGAAAGGGGGAGAGACTGTATCCCTAAATATTATGGGTAGATAGTTTTAAATGTCAATAAGTTTTCCTATAAACTCATCATTTGAAGAATAATAGAAAATAGTTCCATATGGGAGGAGATTTTTTTTAAAAAATAAATAAATACTGACATTTTAAAGACCTAAGTGTCTTAAATGGTATGTTTATTACAATGCAAAATTAGACTGCACAGAGACATTTTGGAGATCATATTTGAGCAGTATCCTAAGAGGCAGATAATAAATGACTCAGATAATCTGAGCGATTTGGGCTGACTCACATGTTTTGGAAGAAGGTGTCATCAAATCCCTGATTCTGTCAGTGTTTTTCCCTTTGTTCCACCTGGTAGTGCCAAACAAATCCCAAAGCGTCAGTGAGTTTTCTACCTCCAACTTTTCAAATCAACATTGGCATTTAGTATATTTGAAAAATATTCCCTAACATAAGTAACACAGGCCACATGATTGCTGGCAACGTGCAGGAGATGGGAAGCTCAGACAGAGCCTTGACTAAATAAGAGCAGAGACCCAAGACTGGGTTTGGTTTGTCAGGATAGAAGAAAGGGGAATTTTTACCCTACTGCTGCCTGAATGGTGCTTCTTGGAACACTTATAATCAATAAATATTATCTGGTACCAGTATGAGATGTAAGAGAAATAAGGAGGCATTGGCCTCTATCCTAGAAAGGCTTGGTCTATCACAGAAACTGAGGTAGTAACTAATGAGTGGTGACATTTGATATAACGTATATTAACAACATTCTGGTTGAAGAGCCCAGAATAGTCACTGTCTTCCACCACTAGGGTTGAGAGGCCCTCACAGACGATGTAGCATGTGGCTTGGGCCTTAAAGAATTAAAATCTCAACCAGAGGTAAGGATCTTGTACACAAGGAAGAGACACTGGTACTAATGTTGAGGTATGTTCAGAGAATGGTTAATAATCCAATCTAGCCTTGAAAAAAAATGGAAGACCTAGGAAAGAATGAGATAGAAATATAGAGTTGTGTCAGGTCAATATAGTTCTCTTGGTAGAGTTCACATGAGCCATTTCTTAGTATGATCTCAGTCTCAATAATATGTCCAACCTGGAAATGGCTATTCTAAATCTGTGATTCAGTTTTTTGACAGAGCCTCAATCTAGGTGATGAATAACAGTAGTCTAAGAAAAGCTTGCAATTCTCTCCATACCCATACGTCCTTATGTTGCTTGTAGTGCTACGAATTTACAGTGCCAAGTTCTGATAAACATCTATGGAAAATGTAATAATGAGTCATGTATATATGCACAAACACATACATAAACTTGCTTTTGAACATGCAAGTTTAACAGCTGATGCAACTTCCAAACTAAGTTTACTTGTGCTGCAATAGAACTCTTTGACCCTTTCCTGTTTCCCCACAGGATTGAAAAAACGTACAAGGAAGGCCTTTGGAATACGGAAGAAAGAAAAGGACACTGATTCTACGTATGTACTCTAAGAGCGTCATGCCTCTGCAAGCGAGCTGTCAGGGTGCTGCTGTCACTCAAAGATTGCCGCAGAGTTTCCTTGAATATCCTGTAGTTTTCTTTGTTCTCCCCATTTATGGGAAACTGTAGTTTCTCAGCATAATTAGTTAGTTATTAGATTTGTGCTAAAAAAGGTGAAAAATTGTCATCATATGTTCAGTTTTTCATCTCTCTCTCTCTCTTTTTTTTTTTTTAAACCATCTGGTAGCCTTGCTTGCCAGCAGTCCTGGGAAGCACAAAGTATGACTGATGGTTTTGTGGGGACCTAGAAGCACTCATTTCTACTTCTAGGGTTGCTCCTAATATCTGAATGGAAGAAACAACAAAGCACCTGTTTAGCTAGATTAGTCCTAGCCAAAGACAGAAATGTGTACTACATGCCATCCTAAAGCTCTTACTTGAGATGCCAAGATTTTGTACAAGCAGAATCATAAATCAGCCAACAGAATTCACAGGAGTGATAGGATATTTGCCTGTGAATAAGCAACTAATGCCAGAAACAATGACAGGGATGCTTTTATGTGTTTAAACGGTCTTATTCAAGAGAATTGATTGCCCATGGACACTGATGGGCCCTTGAAAACATCAATAAATAGCAGTTTCATTCTATGTTTAGTTATTTGACCATCTGGAATTCTTTTTCAAAAATATTTGACTCTGATACAAAAATCTCAGATGTCCTTCTGAGCCAGGCAGATAACTCCATACATGAGGTTAGCTGGCCAGAACTCAGCATTCCAGTGAAATATCCCCATAAGGAGAGAATCGTGACTCAGCTGTGGCTGGCTGTGACCAGGTGGAAGAGATCTGGGGTGGTCTGCTGAGTAGCAGAATGGAGCTCTTAAACCCCTTATTTGGCTATATTCCCTGAGAGAACGTTAGAAAATGGAAAAATCAAGGTGGTACGGGTAGAGGTGAAAATGAAGGCGGCCACGTTGATTTTCTGGGCATTTTGTGTGTGTGCATAAATTTTCTCACAAGGTGCTCAGTATTTCCCTGTGCCCTTGTCCTCCACAAACTTGTAATTCACGGATAAAATACTGACTATATGAATTAAATCATCTTTCCTACAACTAAATGAGATAATATTTGAAATGCCTACTAGTACTTAGTATTTTACAAATGCTCCGTAAATGACGGCTGCTACTATTCTTATCACTACTGATATAAATCAATAGTAATAAGTTCCTTGTGAGCAATTGAAATGGAATTTCATGGGAATTTGAAGGTGAGAAAGTTTACATTTGGACTGAGGATCTATGATGCTTCAAGGCAGGAGGAGTCCTCAGTTTGGCCTTCAGGAGGAGGACATGCATTTCAGGCAAAGGGAGCCACAAAAGCAAAGGTAGACAGGTGGGAAAGTCCGGTAGGCATCCAGGACCAGGTAAGTGGGGCAAGGTGTCTCCCTAGGCTATAGGTAAAGGTGATAATGGGAGGCAACGCTGGGAAGGAGATGAGTTCCAGATAGGAAGGGCCTCAAGTGCCAGGCTGAGGTATCTGGACTTCCATTCTTCCCTAGTAGGTAAGAAGACCTGAACATTTTTAAGGCGAACAATGTGAAGGATTGGGAGGAGAAATGTTGTTGTTGTTGTTTTATTGTTTTGTGTTTTGCCCAGATGCCAAATGTCAACTCTCTTTTTTTATATTTTCTCTTTGGGTAAATATTTCCTGAAAATTACATTTACAGAATTTTTTTTCTAAATTATTGAGTTATAATATTTTTTCAGGATCATATTTGCATTGTTTCTGAATACATTTGTCATTTTCCTAAAGATTAACCTTGCAGAATAAGTGCTGGTCCCTTTGCTAGGGTTGGAACCTCTGGGCTCTTACACCAGTTCTGCCCATAATTCAACAGCCTTCGAAATTACATTTTCCCTCTCAGGGCCTAGTTTCCTCACATGTTTCAAAAAAAAAAAAAGAAAGAAAAAAGTGTACACTAGATGAAATCAGGTTTCCCTAAAGGCCAGATACCCCACCAGCATATCGGCAATCTGTTGACACCTACAGTGTGCCACCTGTTGTGTGGGACACTGCTGCATGCATCTCAGGAGGACATTATAGCAGAAGCAAACTAATTTTCTATGAAAATAGTGTCAATAACTGCACCAGAGATTTCTGGTGTGTGAAGAAAGCTAAAAAGCTTTCCTGAAAGGAAAAGAAGAGGTTAAGTAACCTCCCTGGGGTCAGCTGAGCTAATTTACAGGTGGCCAAAGCACTGTTCTTCCATCTCCAATACCAAAGCTACGAAGATGAGTAAGTTATTCCCCATGGCTTTGGGTGGACGCCCAATATGTCTCTGTGGTACTTTAATGAAACATTTGTTTAGAGAATCCCAAGCATCTCTTCTTAACTTCTTATCATTTGAGTGCCCAGATTACTTACGGGATAGCAAATTAGTTGTAAATTGGTTCCCCCATTGGTGATTGGTCCAAGGACAAGCTGTTTGGTTTTGTTGTTGTTTTTTTCCATGAACTACCCTCCCCCATTCTCTAATTGGATCTCATATCATTTTTGGAAAATGAATCATAATTGCAAAGGGGTTGGTGAAATGCTCTGGCAATTTGCTGTCCCTTCAGCTTTGGTTAATGCTTATGTTAGACTGCACTCATTGAGACCTTGTGGATGCAAACTGTTTTCAGGGCTGTTGCAATTCACTGGCGTTGCTAAGCAACCTGCTAGGGTAGCTGCCAGCTCCAACTACAGCTGATTGAACCTCTGTAGATAAAGAGTGGGGTAAGGACCAGAGCTTCCTGATTTGATCATCGTTACGGTGACTGGTAGAGGAAGAGAGAGAGCCTGTGCTAAGTGGAAGGCCCTGTGCAGGATATTTTGTTGCACTGATATCCTTTTTAATCCTCGCAGTAATTCAATAGGATTAATAGTAATATCTCAGTTCTAGGGATGAGAAATCAATTCCAAAAAGGGTTAAGTAACCTGCTAAAGGTTAGGCAGAAAATAAGGCTTGGAACTAGTATCCTAGTCCAGTAACCAGTGCCTGTGCACTGGTCATCCAGAAGAAGAGGTGTGGGTGGGCGAGGTTGTAACCCAGTGTTTTAATCAGCTTTTTCGCTGCTATGACTAAAGGACCCAACCAGAACAATTGTAGGGGAGGAAAGGTTTATTTAGGGGCCCACAGTTTCCGAGGTCTCAACCCATAGACGACAGGCTCCATTCCTCAGGATTCGAGGTAAGGCAGGACATCATGGTGTGGAAGAGGGAGGCAGCTCACATATTGACCAGAAAGCAGAGCGAAAGAGAGACTCCACTTGCCAGATATTTTGTATACCCCAAAGACACCCGCAATGTCCACCTCCATTTCAGTTACCTCTCAGTTAATCCCTATCAAGGGATTAATTCACTGATGGATTAAGACTCTCACAACCCAATCTTCTCTGAACCTTCTTATATTGTCTCACATGTGATCTTGGGGGATATCTCACTTCCAAACCCTAACACCCAGACAGGAGGGTGAAAGACAAATGGTAGAGTTTCAAGAAGTCACCAAAACTTCTAAAACAAGAGGCCAATGGTCCACAGTGGATGACTAGTTTGAAAATAGATACCCGTAAATATAATGGGTCTGTCATTAAAAAGAAAAATACTATGTTAAAATAAAATTAAAGACTTCAAAAAATGAAGGAAATGAATTTACAACATACACCAAGTATCTGAGGCAGTTAAAATCTTTCCCCATCCTGGAGAAATAAACTTTAATGAGTATTCACTGTGATCTAGGCACTGTTTCAGACTTTTCACTTTTATTAACCTATTGGCTCCTCCTGTAGTCCTGTGGGCACATGCCATTTCTAGATAGGGAAATCAAGACACAAAGGGGTGAAGTAACTTGCCTGAGTTTCTATAGCTGGGAAATCTACTTTGGTTGTATCCAAGTAGTCCAGCCCTAGAGCTGGTCCTCTTAGTTACTATATTTACTCTTCCATGAGAGAAAACACCCGCCCATGTGCATCGACTGATGAAACAATGCATTAAAATCAGACTCCAATGTTGTTATGTACAATACAGTCTTTCTGGTTAAAAATTTGAAATACCATTCCAATAACTACCGTAGGCACAGATCAGGTGGCTTCCCACTTAATATCCCCTAGTGATGTGATAATGGGCACCACCACAGCCAAGCCAATCTCCAAAGGCTTCTCTTCTCTACATCTATTGCTGACTGTCCCCAAAGGCACTTCTATAGAATCAGTACCTCTGAATATGTCCTAAAGTCATTGATGCAACCACCTGTTTCCCAGCTCACTTGGCAGGGGTTGAAATCCTAACAGGAAATGCCCATTTTTGCACAGATAGATATATGAAGGAAACTAATCTTTGATTAGTATAGGTTGGCCTCTGTCTTCTTGCTTTTGTCCTATTCTGGGCTTATTATGGCCACCATAACTCACTGGATAGACTTGCCTGCCTTGTTCTTTCTTTGTTGAGCATGTCTTTTCATTATTTTTATCCCATTGTCCTAGCCACTTGCCTGTATATTTTAAGTACCCAATATTTGTTCAATGAATTAGAACTTTTGCCAGATGAGATTTTTTTTCTGCCTTTCTATTTTAGATGAAATTTCTTTGAACCATTTAATTCCCATGCCCAGGAAATGTCCAAATACTCCAAGATCTCTATCAACTCCCATTGTCTTTCAACATCTGAGTCCTCTTTGCTTTTGGCCCCAGTATCACTGAATTAACCACTGCATCTGTTTGGACAGAGAACTAATTATCAAAAATGATGCTACCAAATGTTTTGTAATCCAGTTGGACTATTCCACTCATTTTGAAGTGGTGTTGATGCGGAAGGGAATCATCTGAGCCCAAATGTCTAATTGTCTTCTCTCTCTTAATAGCTCTCCCTCTCTATTTTCCACTGCTCCCCGCCCCCACCATCATGGGTCCCACCCTATGAAGCAATAAAGAATTTCCTTAGCTGGTTCCACCTTCTCAAGAACAATTCCAACCCCACCAAATTCCTAGAGATGTCACAGTTCTCTCCAAGTACTTATTAAGATTTTCTTCCCCAAAATACAGGTTCCTTTCCAAACACAAATCTGGTAAGCTCCTTACACAAGGAATTAATATCAGAAGTTACCAAGTGACAGTGGAGACCCTCTCTGCTTCTCCCTACTTCTGCTCATCCAGCCCAGTTTCCAGGGTGCCTGCAAGTGAGCAGTTTTGTGTTCCTGGTGAAGAGACATCATAAAATAGAAAAGAAATTATTATAATCTACTAACACCTTTGAGGACTTAGAATGTGTCAAGAACTATTATAAGTTTATTTTATACATACATTTATAGAGACCCACACACAAACTTAATATAGCTTAAAGAGGTTAAGTAACATGTCCAAGGTCATAGAACTATGAAATGGTGAAATCCAAACCTACAGATTCATCTTACACTAAAGCACTGAGCACCTCAGCAGAGTGTCCCCCAAAACAGCTTCCCTGGATTTTAGTTATCAGAAGGAGCCATTTGGTAAAATATGCTCTTCCTTCCTGTTCTCCTATAATCAAAAGATATGTAAATACAGAAATGAGGAGAAGATACAGATTTTCAAAATAAGCTCGAAAATACCTCAGAAGTTTCACCTAGCAAGAGACAGTTCAGGATCACTTGCAGTGGGTGGAAAGAGAACATAGGTTTACATGTGACACTTTTAAAGTAAGACTGGGCAGACACTAATGAAATCTCCTCTCAAAACTCGGCCAAGGCACTGTACCACCAACTTGTGCCTTTGGGCTTCAGTTTTCGATGACCATCTTTCTGTCACACCTCACTCTCAAATATCACTCCCCCAATTTGTTTTGATTTAGTTTTCCTTATACAGGTTTACTGGGGTGGACACAGGGGAGCAGGAAGGTGTTGGTTCATGAGTCTTACTCTTGATACTTTAGTCTGTGAAGTCAGAAAGATTCACAGTCCTAACTATCAACTTCTTTTTGTTACAGAGGTTCACCAGATCGAGATGGAATTGTAAGTATTTAAATGACTATTTTTAATGGTTTGCACTTCAATATATACTATATTTAAATTTCCTGCAGCTCCATTTATTTTTCTTTCCTCTCCTCCACCCCCGCCCCAGGGAAAAAAATAGCTTGGCAGACTTTTCTGACCTCTCACTGTTATAATTTTCTCTAGTAATTGCATGAGACATACAGGTAGTCTTGGTCAAGTTACATTTATTTGGTGTATTCACCTAAAACCCTGCCGAGGAGCAGGCAAGCAAACTTAGTCATGGAAATGATGGCTCCAAAGCCAGACAGTTCATGCAGGGACTGCTACTGTCAACTGTTATTTCATTTCCAATTTAATGATGTAAAAGCTCATTATGTGAGAATGTTTTTCTCCAACAGAGGCCACAGAGTCATAAAGGAGCTGGGATCCAATAAAACTGAATGAAGCTTTTCCCCTGGCGTAGCTGGGCTGCAGATATATTTTCTATGTTAAATTCAAAATTAGGAAATGGTCTTAAAACCACTTAGGCCTGAATTTACAGCCTGAAGGAGGAAAGTGTGTCCACTGGGTTTAGATTTAATAGTAACTCTGGCTCCTTGCTAGCCGCCAAGATTTCTTGCTTTTTTAAAGAAGTCTGTGGTGCATGGGCTTGGGTTTATCAGAGTTGCTTGTATGAGATTCTGCCCCAGCTTCTAAAATGACTTCCTTCAAATCTAAATCAGATGCCTATTCATAAGGTTCAAAAGAACAGCTGTTACTGAAAAAAAAAAAAAAATGGACTCACATTAGGCTCACTGGGCAGAAGTGGGCTAAAATAAACCTGGTGGTTAAAAACTTATTTTTTTTTTGAAATCACCCTTTATGATATTATACCTAAATTGGGGTGCTAATTGCAGCTATAGAAGGAGTTTTTCGCCCGCACTTGACTTGAGGTTCTTAGCTTTGGGGTGACTTTTGTGTTCATGTGGTTCTCACTATGAAATGTTAAGAAAAATAGAGAGAAATTGATCAGACATTGGGTAACACTATAATCAAGGCTCTATTCAGCAGGGGAAAAAAAAGACCCAGAAGACTCAGCTTCTCCTCACCTCTTGCTTCTGGCTCAGAGCCCTCTCGTTAACTCTGTCTCAGGTACTCTTTGCTTCTGTTTCTTCTCTTTGCTTCTGGCTGGTTCTCCTCCCTGGGTCCTCTTGTCTACGCCTCTCCCACCTCTGCAAGGCTCTATTAGCTACTCTGCTTTCTATCCTGGCTGCTCCAGGACTGGACTGCTTATTTCTTGCTTTTCTCACTCTGTCACTCTCAGTCTTGTCCTTTGTCTTTCTCCAAAAGCCCTGCTCATTGTCACTGAGGCCCTATTGCTACCTCACTATTCTCTGCTCTTCAGGGAACCACCCGTTTAAATCTCTAGTAAAACACACACCATGGTACCTGGTGCAGCAGCTGGCACAGAGCAGGTAGCTGAACATGTGCTGTGTTAATGAAGCCAGTGTTCATTCTGGGGGACCCATCTCCCCAATCCAGGGCTTCATGCCCAGGTCCCCAAGCCCTCCTTCCCTACACCATTCCAGATTTTATAAAGTTATCTAGTAGAAATTTTGTCCTCTTTATTGCTTAATTAGAAATGCCACAAATATCATTGGTCATAGGTCACTGGTCAGTCTTACTTGGAAAGAAAGGAATTATTTAATTTCTCAGGTTATAACACAGACCTGTTCTGAACAAGACTACATTCAAAAGTTCATTTTCTCAGAACCAAGGTGTACAGCTTCATAGATAACTGGAAGTTATTAGCCCATTGCAACTTTTACCATTTGAAAATGTTAAGTTTCCTTCCAAAATTTGGCCACCGAATTTTGAAAACCAGTGCTGTCTGACTGGGTTCAGATTCTGTTTGTATTAAGTGCTCAAACATCTCCACCTGATTTTCTTTCAAACTCAAACCAATTCCTTATCTGCTGACTCAGTCCACTTTTGTATGGCTAAGACAGCTTCCAAATGATTGTCTTTTGAATGTCTGAAATTGAAGTTTATAGTTTCACTAACATGTTCCAATAAACTACAGGTGCTGGTATGCCCACCTAGTGTTTATAAACTACTCAGCAAACACAGGGCCTGCACAAAAGCTCTAATTAGTAGTGCCCACTTAATTTCAATGTCTCCAATTTCACTGAAGCCCATCACTGATTGCAATGCTTTTAATCACTTCTTGAAGGGGTTGTGTATATGAAGGTGGGCTTGCCTTGCTGCCCACTGGCTGAGGGTCCCCATCGCTGGCAGAGTTGTCTGTCATGGTGGTGAGACTTCAGACAGAAGTGTACAACAAGACCTTTGCACAGGATTCACTAACTTTTTCCCAAGCAGTCTCCATTTCTCTTCACAAATAAACTAGTGTTCCAGGGTCACAACCCTTGCTGTGAGATCTTCTCTGCTCATCTCTATCAGGCGTGCAGGAAAGGCACAGATTTGGAACTGTCAACTGTGTGTGCTGTTTGTATTGGTGACCCCCAAGAATATTTTGACCAGGGGAAAACATGGCGGAGCGAAACTCTTCATACGTAGATATACAACAGTTTTATTCCGTCTTTTCTTGTATGTCTTGGTGTCTGTTCTCTACTTGTAAACTAAGTCTAAATGAGGAATAGATTCACATGGTCCCTAGTACCTGGGACACATCTTCCTCCTTCCCCCTTCCCTGACCTAGCCAAGCCGGCCTGCTGAATAGAGCCTCATTATGGGCCCCAAAGTCCACTCTTTGAGAAAGGAACCCTGCCAAGATTGGTAGGCCGTACAATTTGGCCTAGAAATGGTTTCTCCTCTGGTATGTTTGCTGACGCCATGTGATTCTTTATGTGTCTTGAAGAACAAACAGATCCTTTAACAACTTTTTTCTACATGAAAACAATCAATTCCAGCAGCCCAGCCCACATGAACCACCCTACAATAACAAAGCAGAGTGTGCGCGTGAAGGAGGAAAAAAAGTTTCGGTAAGGAAACAGATTTTAGTTTAAAATTTCCAAGGGGTTGTAGAAACAGTGAGTAAAATCCCACTTTGAATTGTGGAAAATACAATAGTTTTTATTTATTCCACTTAAGAGGACTCTTTCTTAGGTATTTCCAAATGACTTCTTGAATACCTGGGTTCAATTTTTAAATCAACCTTATTGACTTTATGTATTGACATCCGAATATTCGTTTAAAGAATGATCAGGTATAAAATATTTGTATTTCCTTTGTCATAGACAAAGGACAGGGATTCAAATTTTAAAATTCAAATTTTGAAAGAATATTCTATCTATAAAGAAGGCTTTTGCTGTAATAAAACATCACCATGCAAATTGAGTAGCACCATTTATTAGAATAAGCACTATCTCAACAATATAAGTTATATGGCAGGACCTTGCCCTGTGGGAACCAGTATTCTTGACTAAAGGATGTAGGGTCAGAGATGCTGATTCTAGGCCAGGCTATGCAATAACTATAGCTATGTTGTCAAATGTGGTAACCACATGTGGCTAGTTGGCTAGAATTCAGCCCCTAGCCACACTTACACATTTTAAATACTTCACAGCCTCTCATGTCTAGTAACTACCATATTTGACAGCACACAAATAGAACATTTCCAAGTTCACAGAGAGTTCTACTGGTCAGTGCTGTCCTAAAGGATCATTTACAAACCTACCTTGATAGGGAAAGGATAATATTTAAGTAGTACATCATATATTTTCAACACTTCCCACCCCAAAATCACTACATAGCTATGAGCTGACCTCAGATAAGAGGGGCACTCACAATGGAACTTTGATGAATATAATTGAACATAACTTTTATTATATTCATTGATTTAGCCCATCATATTACTGAGAATAGATAATAAGCTTCATCAAAGTAAAATGCCTATTAAAACAACTTTATCATACTTGTGAACATCAATTATCTTGAAATAGCAGTCATACGTTTGAGTTATAAAAGTTACTAATGTCAGGTGTAGAATTATAGAAAATACAGAAGAGGAAGAAGTAAAAGAACATATTAGTCCAACTCCAAGAGAGAAAAAAAAAATACTGTTTGTCAGTGAATAACTGATATTGCTTTGAAAATTAGGCCTAATTGTCAGAGGATGTTTTCCCACCTAAAATATTCTTCCCTGTTTATTCAATGTTTTCCATTTGAAATCAATAGATTTCATCTTTACCATTATCATTACTATGAGCTGTACTTTGCTTAGTATTTGAAAAGAAGGATCCCCCCACCCCTTGGAGTCTAACCAAAAGAATTCGGGAAGGTTCTGGCCTAGCTTTAACATAGTAATTTTCACTTGTAAAACCACAGATATTTGTGAGAGTAAACTGGCATGAATGAGACCAAATTACCAGTTCTTCTAATAAAGACAAGTGTATGAGTGTGTGTGTGTGTGTGTGTGCCCCAAAAGAAATGTATTGTTATGATTTGTAGTTTGTGTTTAGTATTTGTTATTAAAATGGGTCTGTTTTAAAAGAAAAAAAAATGTATAGGTTCTGCTTTTCCTTTAGCTCAATCTTCCATTGATTTCCAAGAAAACTGGGAATTCTCCACTCAGACCAAATGTAGAAATTCATGAAATTCTTTATACATAGTGTTAGATGTGTTATCAAGAAGAAACACACACACATAAACACACACAAACAACAGATATGAAATTTGTTGCACTGAACATATAGACTGTCTTGGATTTGAAAGGCTTTAATTATAGAGATGATATTCTAATGGAAAGGAATTGCACAACTGAAGATTTTGAAGTCAATAATTTACCCAATCTCTTTGGTATTGAGATAGAAATCCTTTGTACTAAGGAAAGGTTTAAAATCTAAAAGGTATATTGATATCAGTATCATGCTGATCACAAAATTCATGAGTTTACTCCTCTGGAATCAACTTAATTCACTGGATATCCTATCATTATAAATTAAATTCTATACTGAACTCGGGTTTTGTATATGCTTTCTAAGAAGGAGCTGGAACACTTTGCAATTAAATTATATATAAAAAAATTGATGAAGAAGGAATTTTAAAAGAATCACATATGCCAAAAAGAAAATAGGAACCAGACTTATTTCCAGGGGAGAGAAAAATTTTTTATTATTGTGACACAATGGACTATGTTCTCAACAATATCTTCATAAAGTATATATGTGCAGAGTGAATGTGGCAGATTTTTAAAAAGATCTTTGTACGAGGTAGAAAGAATATTTCTGAAACAGCAATTCAATGGAGACAATTCTATAGGAAGATTGAAATGATGTCCAAGCACAGATTGTCAGGAGCAGGACAAAGAAATAGATAGACACATGTCCTATGTTCCTGGGTGCTGGTCCATGGAAACAGGACAGAGTTCTTGTATTTGTAAATTCTAGCGTATGTAGAAAGAGTGAGGTCACCAACACATCTATTCCTTGCACCCTAATTTAATACACTTATTAAATTACTGCCAATTCTAAGAATGCCCAGTCAACATTCAGTAAGTGCTAGTCAATGACAACTTTTATTCTGGGTTGTCTAGTGATCCTCTGTGTATACCTGAAAAGCTTACTTCCCATCTATTTGTCAAATTGGGTTTCAATGCTTCATTGTAGTTCAAGTGGCCTTTGTGATTGCAAATTAGAGGTCCTGTCTTCAATCCTCATGCATTGCCATTTGATGTGTCATTCTGAGATCTGCTATTGCGCAGTAATATACCATCGCTCTGTGTGCTAAATACAAGAATGTTCTTGGATAGAGCCTCCATTACTGACCCGATTTATGTTTTTGTCTTTTGCTCACAAAAAAAAAAAATAGAGAATTTTAGCAATTTCCTTTTGGGTGATGCCAGATCCTTGCTTGAGAGCCTGTGGTCATATGTCATGATTGTACTAGGGACCAAAATAAAACTTTAAGATACTCAAGAGACAGCGTAATGCTGATATACATTCAGCTTGCAAGGAAATGTGCTCATGGAGACACAGACCACATAGATAAGGAAAGTTCACCATTAATCCTCAAATTCTATTTTAGTAATTTGATGAGAAAAACCATTTTAAAAGAATCTCAACATTAGTTTTAATAACTAGGAGCTGAATTAACTAATCCGGAGCTGACTTCCTTTATACTTTATCAAAGAATTGTTAGAAAAAAATTTGAGTCAGTGTTAGAAATGCTAAAAGATTAATTAATGAGTTGGATGAAAACTCTTTTAATATGTTGGAACTAATTGTATATGAGAGCAGCATAGAAGTAAAAATGTTTCCATTCAAAATATATGTGTATATGGTTATATCCCCTGAAGGTATAGAGGATTAAATTATAATGTAGGTGCTGCTAATCCTTTGGTAATTGAATAAAATTTGAATAGCTAGTTGCTAAAACCCCTGTGCCTAGGTATCTTGTGAGATATTTAGGCTTTTTTACCTAGTGCCATGGCATCTAAATTAACCATTCAATTACATCAATGTGTTTCCATAATAGGCTGCTCTAATTTGTCTTTCCAGTGCTGGATTTTGATAGCTCTTGCTAAATACAGATGAGTTAAGTGGTTTTCGTTCCATTGTGTTTTCTTTTTCTTTTTTTCATTTAAATGTTTCCCTTCTGAATTTTATTTTCAAATTTATTACAGAAGAAAAGCAATGGGGCACCAAATGGATTTTATGCAGAAATCGATTGGGAAAGATATGTGAGTATCAGAATATTGTTTTTATTTATTAAGCATTCGGCAACTTTACAATGAGTTGAGACACTCATATTTATAAGAGGACTTAGAAATAAGTAAAAGACTTTCCATCTCATTAGGAAGTGCCTGGTGCATTTAGGATGGTGGGGAGGTGAAGAGCACTAGAGTCTGCCAAACCCTCCACATACCAGCTCCATGTGGCCATAGAATAGTTATGTGCTGGCCAGGAAAAAAAAAAAATGATGTCAGTATAATAGTTACTTTGTAGTTTTGTATCAAAGATTCAAGAGTTAATTATTTGCCGAACATTTTAGTAACCTATGGAACTCACAGTAAGTATTTTTTTAAAATGCTTTTTCTAATATTAACTCTTGGGGTTTCCATCTTGGCTCTATTTCCCAGCAGCTTTGAGGGTCAAGTCTAGGCAGTTAACCCCTGAATTTTGGTTTCATGACAAATACTATAGCTTCTTGGTACCAGTTTTTCTCAGGGTGAATAATAATCACTTTTTGCTTCTCACGGGGTGAAGGTAAATTCCAGCTGAGACTTAAAGTTTCCCCATTATTCCCCCCAAAACCAACTAAGATCATAACCATATACTTCCACAACAACAGCCTGTTGGATCCAGCCAGGATCCCTCCTATATTTCTAATCAGATAGAACTTTTAAATTGTTTTCACATTGAAGATCATTTCTATTGTGTATTAGGTGCCCAAATTCATGATCCCCACAAAATGCCCTTGCTCTTATCCTGTGACTGTCATAGCCCAATCTTCTCTTTCATGAAAGTTACCCTTCATGTTTAAACTTTTTCATATTTGTTAGTAAGACTTTTGTTTTTATAATAAATGAGCCTATAGTTATTGAATGCTCAGTTTCAGTTATAATAGTAAATGCTATTAATCTTTACAACCTTAAAAGGCAAACTATACATTATCTGCACTTTAGAGAAACTGAGGCTTCGAGACATAAAATTCTTTATGCTTTCCCCCTCTGCAGTCCAAGCATGTCACCTTGCCAACATACTACCTGTCTTCTCTTAGGCTTCTTTCCCAGGATTGAGATCCTTTCGATATTTCCTTTTATTTTAATTGATTTTTTAAAAATTACAGCGGAATGCATTACAATTCTTATTACACATATGTACCACAATTTTTCATATCTTTGTATATAAAGTACATTGACATCCAATTCGTGTCTTCATACATGTACTTTGGATAATGATGTCTATCACATTCCACCATCCTTGCTAATCCCCTGCCCCCTCCCTTTCCCTTCCACCCCTCTTTCCTATCTAGAATTCATCTATTCCTCCCTTGCTCCCCCTTCCTACCCCACTATGAGTCAGCCTCCTTGTATCAGAGAAAACATTCAGCATTTGTTTTTTGGAGATTGGCTAACTCCACTTAGCATTATCTTCTCCAACGCCATCCATTTACCTGCAAATGCCATGATTTTATTCTCTTTTATTGCTGAGTAAAATTCCATTGTATGTATATGCCACATTTTTTTTTAATCTACTCATCTAGGTTGGCTCCACAGTTTAGCTATTGTGAATTTTGCTGCTATAAACATTGACGTGGCTGTGTCCCTGTAGTATGCTGTTTTTAAGTCCTTTGAGTATAGTCCAAGGAGAGAGGTCAAACAGAAAAAAAAAGTAGGCCCTAATCTTCATCATGTGGGATTAGGTCCCAACTTCCTTAATAAGACTCCTATAGCACAAGAATTAAAACAAAGAATCTATAAATGGGATGGAATCAAATTAAAAAGTTTCTTCTCAGCAAAAGAAACAATCTTTGAGGTGAACAGAGAGCCTACATCCTGGGAGCAAATTTTTTCCCCTCACACATCAGATAGAGCATTAATCTCTAGGGTATATAAAGAACTCAAAACGCTAAGCACCAAAAAAAAGACAAATAACCCAATCAATAAATGGGCTAAGGACCTGAACAGACACTTCTCAGAAGAGGATATACAATCAATCAATAAAAATATGAAAAAATTCAGCATCTCTAGCAATTAGAGAAATGCAAATCAAAACTACTCCAAAGTATCATCTCACTCCAGTCAGAATGGCAGCTATTATGAAGACAAACAATAAGTGTTGGCAAGGAAGTGGGGAAAAAGGTACACTCATACACTGCTGGTGGGACTACAAATTGGTGCAGCCAATATGGAAAGCAGTACGGAGATTTCTTGGAAGTCCTTTCAATATTTCTAACAGTTCAATTCCTCAAAATGTCTAACACCCTCTAAGTTATCCTAATTTCAAATTATTGACAAATATTTAGTTATAAGGGAAGCTATTAGAGTGATTTCTTCTGTCAAAATTAAATCTTCTTACCTAGAAGAATTTTGTTGTGTTTTATAGAAGTCTTTAATATATCTCAATGGTTAACTCAAAACAAACAGGAAGAATGATCATTATAATATCAGATAACTCATCAAATACTTACATATGACCTTCCATCTAGCAAACAAACCCTAAACTCCAGTGCTGTTCCCGGTTGGCACAAAGTACTTAAATGAAGCATAACTTCCTTTAAATGCGTTTAGGTCTGAAAATGAATCAGATCACACAGGAACTGCTGTTGTAATAAATTGTGCATTACATAGCAATTACTCCAAGAAATAGGAACAATTACTCCAAGAAATAGGAAGAATTTTATTTATTTATTTATTTATTTATTTATTTATTTATTTATTTATTTTAAAGAGAGAGAACTTTTAATATTTATTTTTTAGTTTTTGGCGGACACAACATCTTTGTATGTGGTGCTGAGGATCAAACCCTGGCCGCACCCATGCCAGGCGAGCGCGCTACCGCTTGAGCCACATCCCCAGCCCGGAAGAATTTTAGTAATGTGTTAATTTTATTTAATACATTACATCATCCTAATTTTGTTGAGACAGATCTCAGAAAGGAATAAGCTTTAAGCAAAGGCCTAAAGTACAAGTCAAGGATAAGTGGCTATACATTCCAGTGAAGAGAGTTCCAACCAGAGGATAATACATTCATGAGGACCCTGAAATGAGAAAGCTTTGCAGCTTTCAAGTCCCAATGTTGACAGTGGGGAAAACTGCAGCTGGAGAGGGATGCGGGGCAGTGGGTAGGGGGGAGAAGTATCTAAGGCTAAAGAGAGGAGCAAGAGGCAAATCATGCTGGGTCTTGTTGGCTACACAGAGATGCTGGGTTTTTATGCTAAGTGCAGTGAGGAGTCAGAGACAGGTTTTCAGCAGGGAAATGGCCTCCCTACAGTTGCATTAAAAAAAAAAAAAGTAATTCCGAGTACTGAAGGAGAAGGACAACAGGGAAACCACAGTATGTGTTCAAAAATGGGCAGCTTTTAGACATAGAAAGGAAAATACTATGATCACTTATATGCAGAAAATCTTTTCTTAAGTCAGATAAATAGAAGAATAGAGAATAAATAGAGAAGGGTAGTTCCCAGGGGCAGGGAGGGGGAAGAAATGAGGGAAGTAGGTCAAGAGGTACAAATCTGCAGTGAGGTAGGATGAGTAAGTCTAGATCTCTAATGTACAGCATGTGGATTGTAGTTAATCAAATTGTATAAACTGAAAATTGCTAAAATAGTAGATTTTAGATGCTCTTACCTCCACCCCCACCCCCACACACAAAGGGTAACTTTGGAAAGTGATGGAAATGTAAATTTGACTGTAGTAATCATTTCACTCTGTGTATGAGAGCATCAAGTTGTATGCCTTAAGCACATACAGTAAAAAATTCAACTTTAAAAAATGGTGGCTTTTTCCATGGAATTCAGGTCCTGTTCTCACTCCATGGTCGTGATGTTTTTATGCCTTCAATAAATGCAAAACTCATCTCCAAATCTCCTCTGTCACTGCCAGGCCTGTAAGCTGAACCTCAGCAGGGCCTCCCTTGCACTCCTCATCTTCCTCCCCTCTGGGGCATAGGGCATAGTCTCAAAATGCCATGTCTGACATGGGCTGTGTGTGCTCTTGAGAAATGGTATTCTGATTTCACTTAGTTTCCTTCTGATTATTGGGATATTTTTTTCCACATGTCATTTTTATGTCATTCAATGAGATAAAATGTGAGTCACCATATTTACCATATAATAGGAACTCAAATATGAAATGTTAATCCCAGTATTGCAAACTGCCTTTTATCTTTCCTTTTTCTAAAAGTAGTGGTTTTCTGCTATTAGAACCAGTTCAACTAGGAATACCAGCAATCTCCCAGGAATAGAGGGTAGAAATCTTAGATTCTTCTGAAATTTCCCTCTCTTTTTTCTCCTGTGATTGATCTAGTACCAAGAACTAGTAATCGATCCTTTCAGATGTCCTTAATGCATCCTATCTCACCACCAAAACTTGAGCCATATCCTCAGCACATCTTGCCTGCATTGACGCATGTATTTTAAATTAGTTTTCTCCAGTTTCTTCAGCTCTCAATCTATCTGCAAGTATTCTTTCAGAACACCTTAAGATTCTGCACTTGGCATGTCCCACCCTGAGAGGCTGCAGCAGCTCTAGAGAGTCCAACCTCCAGCCTGGCACATTGACCACCCGTGGTCTTATTGTCCAGTCTCCTGCTGCATACCTGTTCTCCAGTTGTCATCTCTGCTATTGCCTCTTTCTTCCCCATCTTCCTGCCACAGTGTCTCAATATAATCTGTTCCTGCACCTTCACAGGGGCTCCCTCTCTGCTCCCTCCTAACTGTTTCAGAAGGCACATGTGGACCTCATGCCTGATGCTTTCAAACTTCACTAATTTCCTCTTCCTTCTAACACGGGTGTTTTGTATTGTCATTAATTGTTGCCTACCCAAATCATTTCAATTCCATGAGGACAAACAATTTGCATTTTGATTTCCCCATGTTGCTTAGCAGTCCTCAGCTTACAGGAAATGCTTGATAGGTCCCTCTTTGAATGTCTTCTTCCACTGACAATGTCCTTTTTTTTATTTATCCAGTAGGAGGATTCTCCAAGTATCCTTGAGTAAATATATAAACATATACTGCTCAGCATTTGCTTCCAGAAGTTAAAACCTTTGGCCCCCTAAAATAAGAGACTATCTTACATAAAAGATAGTGAATGAATGGATAAAGAAAATGTGGTATATATATATACACAATGGAGTTTTATTCAGCCATAAAGAAAAATGAAATTATGTCATTTACAGGAAAATAGAGGGACCTAGATAATATTTTGTTAAGTGAAAAAAGTCAAACTCAGAAGGTTAAAGTTTTCTCTCAAATGCAGAAGCTAGAGAGAAAAAAAGGAAAAGAAAGGTAGGAGAGCAGGGATCTCATGAAAATCAAAGGGAGGAAAATGACCATGGGGTGGGAGGCGGTGAGAGAGAGAGAGGAAGTGCTAGGGAGTGATATTGGCCAAATTATATTGCTATACTGTGTGCATGTATGAATATGTAACAACAAATCACATCATTATATACAATTATAATGCACCAATAAAATGTGGAAAAAATATGAAAAATACTCTAGGAAGAGAAATGTGCCTCTATCATTTCAAAATAATAATTGCTTAACATATACTTGTATTTTACAGAATTCACCTGAGCTGGATGAAGAAGGCTACAGCATCAGACCTGAAGAACCCGGCTATATCCTTTCTTTATTTTTTTTTTTAATTTTAATTTAGAATCTCAGAAAACAGTAAGCTAAGGTCAGGTTTTACAAAGGTGATGAAATAACCTGAGCTACTATTCCTAATATGAGAAATGAATAAATAGCACAGAGAACAGCCTGATTGCTAACAAGCAGGCATTTTGCCTTGATCTATTAATAGAAAAGAGAGAGAAGCGAAAGAAATGTGCTAAAAAAAAAAGTCGTGTGAATTATGGGTACTGGGTTGTCTGCTAAAATCTGACATGGCAATGCCATTTATACTGACTGGAAAATAGCCCTTACTGTCCTCTCCCCTCCAGTTCATCTCTGGGCAAAGCATGTCACACTCTGAAGCACCACCCAAGACTCTTCACAGATGATCCAGAAAGAAAGAAGTCTTTCTCTGAGAATGAGTGAGCTCATGCATGCTTGTGTGTGTGCAGAGTGTGACACAACACATGAGCGATGACAGCAAAAATTAGGGTATGGATCAGTACTCTTTGAAATTCATGATCTCTGATCATATTCTAAGGAATGGTAAAGAAATCCTAACTTTTTAACTCTTTTATTTTTGTTTGTTTTGCTTTGATTTCCTGCCATCTCAGAATACTTTTGTAGTGACTATGTGCAATCACTCTTGTCATATTATACTCATCAATGTCTCCCAGTAGAAGAAAGCGCTAAGTATCTTTAACTGTGTTCTACCTACCAAAGGAAAGCACTTTTATTCTTCAAGTGAATCGGAAGAGGAAGAAGAATCACACAAGAAATTCAATATCAAGATCAAACCATTGCAATCTAAAGACATTCTTAAGAATGCGGCAACTGTAGATGAGCTGAAGGCATCGATAGGCAACATTGCACTTTCCCCATCACCAGTGGTGAGTGGCTTTTTATTTCAAGCTTTGGTGAGGTTGGACAGACAGCTGTGTTCTGCCTGTCTGCATTTAGCCCATCATAAACCCCCTACATTGAGGGCTTCATGCAGTCACCATTGTATGAGGTCTATAAGCCTCAAACAGATCATTCTAGCTTAAGAAAGTTTTTGCTCTTTCAATACTGCAGCTCTTGCATTTTTGAAAATGATACAAATATATGGAATCACATTTTCTTTAATTTTCCTGCAAACATGTTTTTAAAAAAGTCATGAAAAATATCCAGATTTATTTCTGAAACAAACTTTAACAATTAAGAACATGACATTCACAGATTTACTAATAGTGACTTCTAAAAACACATTTTAGTTTACTTTTTTCTCATAAAAAAATACTCAAAAGGAAAACTAATAAAAATTGGCTTTGAAAAACATTTTCCTAGCTGTGCTCCAGAAGAAAATATTCATAAATATCATAATGTAACTAGATGTAACTTAAAACTCAAATTCTTCATTATATTTTATGATCAATTTGTCTTAAATATTCTCATCTTTAAGACACTTCAAGTACAAATATTGCCCTGTTTATATTTTTCAAATGAGTGTTTTCCTACCGTCTGTGCTTCCTTTCCCCAAATCCCATCTACTAAATTTCTTTAGTTGCTTGATTCTTTCAACATTTAGTACTTTTTCTATGGTGTTTGATAAATGCCACCATTGTTATCTAAAAATAGCTGTGAAAAGTAGATGAGGGCTTTCAGACTGGCAGCTAATGTGTTCCTGACTCCCTGCAGTGTCCACCAGAGTAGTTGAATAATGCTAAACAGTTTGGGAGGTGCTTCTGGAGATGTCTCAGACTTTCTAAAGGAGTCTAGTCGTGCATCCTTTGAGGATGAACTTTGACCAGCTGGGGGTGAAGACCATCTGTAAGGATGCCTTCTTTACAGCATATGTTTATAACAACCCTCCTCACTTCTGCGGGTGACAATCAAAATGATTGCTGGTAGCAACCAACCATAGCAAATGATACTTCAGGTAATTTTTAATCATGTACTCATGTGCTACCTTAAAATACAGCCCAAAAAAAGAGAAGCATAAAATATATGAGTTTTCTTTGTCTTCTGCAACTGAAGATAAGGATTTTAAAATGAAAGAAATATATTTCTAGTAACAGGGGCGTATTAACACACACACTTCCACTTTTCACCTGACATCTTTCAAATTGGTTTTCAGTTACCAAATCATTTTTTTAATTGTAAAGGTCCACAAAAATGCTAGAAACTCATTGATATTCACTTCCCTCTAAGGAATAATAAATGCAGTGGGCACTTGGAAATTATCTAGGATGAGTGAAAAAAGGCAAGTTCACAGGATTAAATGAACAAATACACTTACTAGCATAGTCCTGGAAACATAGTAGAACTTACTAGTATAGTCCCAGAATATTTGCTGAAAGCTTGTTGAACCTAAGAAAGGTTGTTGAACCCCACGTCCAAGACCCTGTGTGCCTAAGCCATCTGGTAGGTATCCCTCCCACCCAATGTGTTGCTAAAGGTGCAGCAAGAAAAGGAGTTTTCTTTGAGCTGTTCTGGAATCTGTTTTTAGATTATATGAACTTAAAATTCAGGTTCTGTTATTAAAAGACAAACAAATACTATTAGAAGACATTGTCAGTTTCTGTCACTGTGTCTTAAGTCATCTCAAATTATTTAGGGGGAGTTCATTTGGAAATGAGATTTTTTTCCTGATTTTTATTCAAAGTTATTCCCAGAATCAGTTGAATCCAAGGTATTCTCTTTTGAAATTTGGAATCATTCATTTCTAACTAGTAGTGATGCTATGCTACATGTTAGGTAACGGCTGGATGAACAGAAACAAATATCAGTCAAGTATCATCTTGCTTAGTTGATTCATAACCCTCCAACAGTAACAGTGCCTTTTAAGGCAGACTGCTTCATTGTTGAAAGAAAAGATCTTCTTCTGTTAAACTAAATATGTAATTTTTTGTCCTTGGTTGTGATTTTGTTCTTCAAAGGATGAACAAAGGATAAGATTCCTCCTTTGCCAACTGGTTTTCCATGGAGCAGATGGATTCCAACTCAGAGTTTATTGTGCAGAATATTTATTAAGGAGTGACCTTGGGCTTAATACCTATGGGATGGGGTGAGCAGAGGCAGAAATTGGACTGTTTAACATGTCCAGCAACAGCCTGAGCTAATCATAGGAGATCTATGAAGCTAGAAAATGATCCTTCAGTGTTACCTTAAGTTTGGCTGAGATGAAAAACCTTTATACTGCTGTATTAGTTATAACTCTCATAGGGGCCACCCTAGGAAGAGATGTGACCTTGAGCAAGGTAGCTTTCTGTAGCTGAGGCAGACCTTGTGCTGGCAGTTGAAGGCTATCAGTATCCCTCCTAGCAGCTTATGCAAGGAACCTTAGGAAGGGAAATCAGCAGGGCACACTTTGGTATCCACCACAAATCCCTGGATCTGACATGGAGCCTGATTATCATTGCCATTCAATAAATGCTTGTAAGTGAGTGAAGAAACATGTGAATGAGACCAGGCCAAGGAAAGAGCTCTGAGGCATGTCACCACACTCTAGCGAGGTTACTCATCCACACTTTAGACATCTTATTCATCACACTTGTTCATTTATTATATTTATAAACCTAACTGAGCCTTCTTCCTCGCCTCTTTTTTTTAATTCTACTCAAACCAGTAATGCAATGCTGAATTTGAGAGACCTGGAATGTCTGCAGCATTTCCTGGATCTACCAGATCAGAAGCCCCATTATAGAGAGTGATGGGTTTACTTTGCCCTGGCGTGTTCTTTGCATTGGCACCTAGGGCTACCACCTTCATTTCCAAGTTCTTACTGGCCCATCTGTTTAAATAATTGGTTCTAAAATTTTAGGTTACTAGGAGACAGCAATGTGGTAACATAAAAAGCAAAGAACATGAATTCAGGCAGACCTGGGCCCCAGGCCAGAACTATCTTATTCTACCTTATACAAGCCCCATGACTGTTCTTGAGCTTTATTTTCTTACCTGTAAAGAGCTAGGATGATAACAGTCCTGAGGGAATTTTTGTGCAGATTTCATAGGTCCATGGCAGAGGTGAAGCACTTGGGTAGTTATCAATAATTGAATGAGTGAAACACTCAGAGTATCCTAGTAACGGTAACTGACACTCTGCAGGCATTTGTTTCTTCATTACTAATCTACATATTTTTAAAAATCTTTTTCTCCCTATTTGAGGATTATGCTGTGCTTCCCCACACCCCATCTCCTGCCCTAAAAACAACTCACTGTGTTTTCATGCCCTGGAGTCTAAATGTATATCTTGGGGTTTGAATTCAGTGAAAGGAGCCTGGGGATCTCTTGCCTACCTTGAGTTTTCATTCTTAACTCAATTTGACCCACCTTTAAGGGAAATTGTTTTTAATTCAGCTTTCTCCCATCTGGATATTTATGATTCATTTTTCTTTCAATACAAATAAAAACTACTTACCCCTAAAGGAACTGAGGTATAACAGGAAAGATGACAGACCTGAACCTGGCCTTTTGCTAGGTGTGCTGTTTAGGCAAAGTCCTTTGACCAATTTGAGTCCTAGATTTTCCCTCTCTAAAATGGGAATAACAAACGCTTACCTACAGATAGATGATTGTGATGTGTGTGCCTTTTTGATAGTACAATGTAAACACCAATCCCCCAAAGGAGAAGATAGAAACAGAGATGTGAGATGATGTCTTTTGCTTCCCGTTATCCCACACAGAGTAGGTGCAAACCTCTATTAAATCATCCAACAAATAGCTTTGTTCTTAAAAGAGTAAAATTATTTTCTGAAAGGAACTAAATAAAATAATGGGTACAAGTACTCTCAGGTATATGCCTTTACAAAAGCAAACAAACAATAAAGTCAGAATTCAACATATAATTGAATGGAATACAATTCTCTTTAAGGTAATTTGAGAGAAATGAAAACAGGTACTTATTCCAGTTGTGTTATAATTACTCAAACAAATGAGCTCTACTCCTTGTTAGCTGGTGATCCTAGGCACATTACAAAACCTTTGCCTTGGCTTCTTTATCTGTAAATGGAAAGAATTCCCATGCTTATTTCATATTGCTACTTTAAGGATCGAATGAGTTAATAAATATGTACATGTATTTATTATATTTATAAATATTTACATATAGTAAATACTCAGTATATTCAGAGATTATCTCATCAGAATTGTCTGCAGACACTCTAGGTCAAATTTTTAAAAATTATCATTAATAGTGGTAAATCAGGTAAGCCAAACATCCAAAAGTCATTTAGCTCCACTATCAGTAATTAATTATCCTAAGCATCAAACTGAGAAAATACGTAACTTTTCAGCAATGCCTATGAACTGATTTTAAAGGAAATTCCTTTCTTAAGTCATTTGACTAACATCTACATCCCCTGAATCAGTGTGGTGCTTCTTTCTGGAAGAAAATTTCTGTGTCATGTATGCCCCCACCAAATTTGTTTCATGGAGAATGGACTTTCTTACTCCCCTTCAAGTTATTTCACCATATATTTGTTGAACCCCTTCCATGCACGGGGACCTGAGAGCCTATAACAGAAATATTGAACAATATGTCTAACCTTCTTACCAAAAATAAAAAAAAATTAAACAACCTATAACTAACATTACTAGCAGGACACAGAAGCTGAAAATCCCCTTGTGGTCCAAACCCCTGCCTGCCTTCCCCCTCTGACCTCCTTTCAGCATCTCCCTGCTTCCTCACACTTCCCAGGGGTTTACATGTAGACATCTGCATTCCTTCTGGAACCCACTTGGAGCATCATCACTGACACATCTGTAACCATGTGCTGTGCTCACTAGGCACTTAGAACCCTGTGGCTCCTTCAGTTTTCATGGAAGTAAAAAAACAAATGCTATGGTTTAAGTCTTGGTGCAATCATTTCCCTTCCTCATATGCTGCTATTGACCCTTTGTTCTGTGAGCC